AAAAAAAAAAAAAAAAAAAAAGTTACCCTCTGTAACCTCTCCATAGAAAGCTGTTATTAGGGGCAGTGCCTGTGGTTCCGAGGGTAGGACGCTGGCCCTATATACTGAGGGTGGCGAGTTCAAACCTGGTCCTGGTCAAACTGCAACCAAAATAGCCAGGCACCTGTAGTCCCAGCTATCCAGGAGGCTGAGGCAAGAGAACTGCCTAAGCTCAGGAGTTGGAGGTTGCTGTGAACTGTGATGTCACAGCACTCTACTGAGGGCAATAAAGTAAAGCTGTCTCCAAAAAAACAAACAAAAAAAGCTATTATTAAACCAGCGATAATCAACAATGGCTAAACGCAAGAACTATGATGCAACCCTGGTTTTGGACTGCCCTTCTACAACACAGCCCCAAATAATCCCCTGTCAGAAGTCAAAGCCCTAGGCCCCACACCATGCCTCCATGAACACACCATGTGGAGACCCAGCTTTACTCTTGATTTATTTAAAGTCCCCAGTAGAGCTTTATTTTTTCTTTTCAACATCCTGTTCTGCAGCTTCCTTGGCTCTTTTTGCCCGTATGCCAAATAGTCGGGCATTGGCTCGGGCCATGCGAAGACTGGCAAATGCTTTGAAGTTCTTCTCCTCCTCAGTGATGACTCTGGCTTTCTCCTTCTTATAGACCTAGAAGGAAGGGAGAAGGGTGAAACCTCCACCTGCAGCAGTGAACTGCTGTAGCAAAGCCACACCACATGTCAGCAAACCTGGAGGACTCGGTGGTAGACTGAGCAATGCTGCCTGGGACTACTGAAGAGCTAGCTACTGAGGGTGCCAAGGAAAAGAGCCACAGCCACCCTGCCTGGGCTTTAAATTTAAAAAGTACAGTTCTCCCCTAATTTATGGATTCTTGACTGCATGAATTAAAAAATAAATTTAACCCCAAACCCACAGCACCTCACATCTGAAGGATATCCCCAGGAAGGAAGGTTAGGGTTAGATCTGATCAAACATCCCCAGGCCTGTGGCTTCCAAACAGCGATTGGGAAGTTTTTGAAGATCATTAATTATTTCTGAAAGAAGTTCCAAGAAGGCTCGGCACAGTGGCTTGAAGTCTGTAATCCCAGAACTCTGGGAGGCCAAGGCAGTAGACTGCCTGAGCTCCTGAGTTTTGAGACCTGCCTCAGCCAGAGCAAGAACTCATCTCTAAAAATAGCCGGGAGTTGTGGTGGGTGCCTATAGTCCCAACTACTTGGGAGGCTGAGGCAAGAGAATTGCTTTAGCCCAAGATTTGAAGTTGCTGTGAGCCAGGAAGCCATGGTACTCTACTAAGGGAGTACCTTAGTACTTAGTCTCATTAATGAGACTGTATGAAAAAAAAAAAAAAATTCAAAACAAGTACATTCTTTTAACTTTTTTTTTGATCAATACAATTTAAGTGGGGCAAGGAAGTTTAACTATAGGTTCTAGAGTGCCCTGAGATTAAAAAAGGTTGAGAAACATTGTCGTAAAGCTTCCCAAAAGGCAGGAAAAGAATGCGTTTCATCAAAGTCTATCTGTTAAGAATTCAGGGTTGCTCTAACCAGAGCAAAAAGAATGATCCTCTCCTAAAACCTGTAAATTTCTATACCTATCCCAGATGCCACTGAGTGATCCCCCCCTTTAGCCTGACCCCTGCTCCAATAAGCACCCATGTATCCACCCACCCATCTTGCCTAACCCATAAACTCGGGGAGCTGAGTGTTCACTTACATTCCGTATGGGCATGACAGGTCCTGTGAGTTGGGTGGCCAATTTGAGTTCTTCTTTCTGTTTGTTAAGGAGAAAAGAGTTAAGTGGATCAACTTCACTGTATACCTAAGAGCCCTGCACACCTTTCCCTGTCTATCCTATGTTCTTGGCAGAGGAGCCAATGCCTACACCTTTAGCGTCCCACATCGCATAAGCCAAATACCTATTCTGTGTAGTGGCCAAAACAAGCAAAAATGGGGGCTTATTTTATCCTACCTATAGGTGATCCAGGGATAGCATAAAGTAGAATCATTCCCAAATTCAATTCCCAGGAAGGCACAAATTAACTATCAAAAAGATGTTTCTAGAAATGTTCTTGGATAGAATGTTTCTCACAGAAAAAAGGAGGTTACAAGCTGGCACCGCCACCACAAAACAGACCTCACTACTGAGAAAGACAATGGTTAATCTCAGCCGTTTTGATTAATGACAAATCAGCTCCTTACTACTCATACTAATGGCCATGTTTCAGGAGATGAAAAGACTGCAGGGAAATACTTTTCCTTCTTAAAACAGTTGAATACAAGGACAACTGAATAAAGCCTCTCAAAAGGCTTCCAAAACTACCGTACCCACATCCCACAGGCTCAGCACTGTACTCACAGAACTGTCCCCCTTCTTGGGGGCAGAGGGCTTCCTGGGGAAGAGGATGAGTTTGGAGCGGTACTCCTTCAGACGCTGCACGTTCGCCTGCAGGGACTCAGTCGACTTGTTCCTCCTCCTTGGATCCACGGAAATCCCGATGGTCCGGGCCACCTTCTTGTGGATGCCGGCCACCTGCTCACAGAAACAAACAGGTGAAGCCAAAGGCGAGCAGTCCCTCGCCTCCAGGCTGATGCGAAACGCTCAGTTATCAGATGGAAAAGGGTTCAAATGTACTTTCATCAATACAGTACAGAGATTCCGGAGAATGTCATCATTCAACTGAGAACCGCCAAACTACAACCCGCCTCCGATAACGCAGTTTTGCCAATACTCACCCGCAACTCCTCCAGGCTGAAGCCCCTGCCAGCGCGAACTTTGGTGTGGTACCTAACCGTGGGGCACCTGACGATGGGCCGGATGGGGCCGGACGCTGGGCGCGGGGCGATGCGGCGCGCCTTCGCTTGCCGGGCCTTGCGCCTGTCGAGGGGGAGCGCAGCCGCGGTCACCTAAACCCGAAGGCGGTGCGGTGCAGATACCGCACGGGCCAACGCGCGGCCGCGCCACCCAATAAAGGGACGACCAGGGCCTCAGCACCCCCGCCGTCCACTCACCTGCGGATCTTCCGGGCCGGCTGATTGAACCACGTGGCTACACGCCGCTGCCAGTCCTTGTGAAAGTGCGGCTTCAAGATCATGCCATTCCGGCTGGGCGCCATGGCTGCCTACGGCGCTGGGGCCGCCAAGAAGAGGAGAGGAGCGAGTGAGAGGCCGGGACGCGGCCGCGCGACCCCCAGGACACCGCCCCGAGTCCAGGCCCTGGCCTCCAGGCAGCGCCCAAGGAACCGGGGCCCCGACTCGTGGGCGGCAAAGAGGCCCTGACTTGAACCCAAGTCCCCTCCATAGCTGCTTCGGCCACAAAGCTAAGCCAGCAGCGACGGGAGGAGGCAGAAGGAGTTCGATGGTGCCCGATGGAGTCGGATGGCGCCCGCATAAGACGAAAACAGAGCGCTCACCTCTCAGCGCGAGAACAGCCAAGCGTAAAGGAGCTGCCGCCGCCAAGCACTCTGGGATGGTGGTAGGCCCGACCAATCACAAGCGCCGAGTGCTCCGACCAATCAGAGCCAGGAAAGAAGGAAGTGACGATACGGCGCCGTTGGGACCGAGTGCCGCGGCCGGTCCTGCTCGGGTCGGGTCTGCTCCTGTCCACTTCGCAACCGCGGCAGTGCCCCTGGCGCTTCAGCTTGTACGCAGGCCGTGGGCGGCCTTCCCGAGATAACAGCAGGTGAAGGGCAGCTGTCCCGAGGCGAAAGGAAAATAGGCGATTTCAACTCAGCGGAGTCCTGGTTCGAATTCTAGGAATTTTACTTTGTACATTTCGGGGACACAGTATGTTAACGGTGCTAAGAAACTAAAGATTTATTGAAATGCGAACCAGCGCCACCTAAATTCCTCGTCTTGCTCGTTCCAGCGTTTTTTTTTTTTTTTTTAATTTGTTTATTTAGTTTAAGACAGAATCTCACTATGTCGCCCTCGGTACAGCGCTATGTCTTCACAGCTCATAGCAACCTCAAACTCTTGGGCTTAAGAGGTTCTCTTGCCTCGGCCTCCCAAGTAGCTGGGACCTCAGGCGCCGCGACAGCGCCCAGCTATTTTTTTTGTTGCATTTGTTATTGTTTAGCAGTCCCGGGCCGGGTTCGAACCACCAGCCTCGGTGTATGTGGTCGGCACCATAAACACTGTGCTATGGGCGCCGAGCCTCGTTCCAGCGTTTATTCCCGTCTTGTCTTTTTGGAATATTTATTTCCTTTCGTAGGTAAAATGAACATTTATTGAGTGTTTTTAGTAAACTGGACATTCAATACTTGACGTGCATTTTCATATTTAATTCCACGCGACCACCCAATGAGATGGGAGCTACTTCTTTGGTCCCCCCCTTCCAAATGAGGAAACTTGACAGAATTAGGTACCTTCCCAGGGTCGTGAGTGACAGGTTGCAGACATCACAGTTGCTGTGCCTACTGCCTCTCTCTGGTTTTTTTTTGTTTTGTTTTGTTTCAGGTTCATTGAGGGTACAAAGAATTAGGTTACACTGATTGCATTTGTTAGGTAAAGTCTCTCTCTTTTTTCTTTTTCTTTCTTTTTCTTTCTTTCTTTCTTTTTTTTTTTTTTTTTTAGAGACAGTCTATCACTCTCAGTAGAGTGCAGTAACATCACAGCAACCTCCAGTTCCTGGGCCCAGGCAATTCTGCCTCAGCCCCTCCAGTAGCTGGGACTACAGGCACCCGCCACAACGTGTGGCCATTTTTTTGTTGCAGTTTGGCCAGGCCCGGCCGAACCAGCCACCCTCGGCACAGGTGCAGCCCAGTAAAGTCCCTTTTATAATTGTGTCCTATTCCCTGCTACTGCCTCTGGGACAGAGACAAACATCTTTTAAAAAATTAAGTAGCCAGTCTATATCCATGTCCTGTGTTCCCATCTTAAAAAAAAATTAAGTAGGGGGGCACTTGTGGCTCAGTGAGTAGGGTGCCAGCCCCATATACCAAGTGTGGGGGTTTAGGCCTGGTCCTTGCCAAACTGCAACAACAACAACAAATAAAACAAACAGGGCAGTGCCTGTGGCTCAGTGGGTAAGGCGGCGTCCCCATATACCGAGGGTGTCGGGTTCAAACCCAGCCCCAGCCAAACTGCAACAAAAAAATAGCCGGATGTTGTAGCAGGACCTCTAGTCCCAGCTACTCGGGAGTCTGAGGCAAGAGAATCGCCTAAGCCCAAGGAATTGGAGGTTGTGACATTCCGGTACTCTACTGAGGGTTAATAAGTGAAACTCTGTCTCAATAGCAACAAAAAAAAA